CTTTTAGAACTAATAAAGGAATTTATCAAGTTTGCAGGATACTTGATCAATATACTAAAATAAATTGCACTTCTTTATACTAGCAATAAAGAATCAGAAATCAAAAATAAATAAATAATACCATTTGCAATAACATCAAAATATTAAATACTTAGATGTAAATCTGGCAAATGTTATGTAAGACTTGTATACTGAAAACTATAAAATATTGATGAGAGAAATTGATGAAGACTTAAATAAATGGAGAGAGACACTGTGTTCATGCATTGAAAAATTCAGTATTTAAAAAATGTGAGTGTCCCCAAAGTTGATCTATAGTTCCACACAGTCTTAATCAAAATCCCAGTAGGCTTCTTAATTCTTTTTGTAGAAAGTGACAAGCTTCAATCCAAATCCTAGAGTACACTAATGAAAATAAAAACAAAAATAAACAAATTTATTTTTTATAAATAAAAAAATTTATTTTTTATAAAATAAAATTTATATAAAAAATTTATTTTTTATAAACAAAACCTAATCAAACTTTAAAGATTTTGCATAGCAAAGGAAGCCATAAACAAAAGAAAAGACAACCCTCAAAATGGGAGAAAATATTTGTAAGTGAAGCAACCAAGAAGGGATTAATCTCTAAAATATGCAAATAGCTCATGCAGCTCAATATAAAAAAACGCTAAACAACCCAATCAAAAAATGGACAGAAGATCTAAAGAGACATTTCTCCAAAGAAGACATACAGATGGTTTAAAAACATGTGAAAAAGATGCTCAACATCTCTAATGGTTAGTGAAAAGCAAATCAGAGCTACAATAAGGTATCACCTCACACCATTCAGAATGGCCACCACAGAAAAATCTGCAAACAATAAATGCTGGAGTGTATGGAGAGAAGGGAACCCATATACACTGCTGGTAGAAACAGTATGGAGAGAACAGTATGGAGGTTCCTCTAAAAACTAAAAATAGAGCCACCATATGATCCAGGAATTCCACTCCTGGGCATATTGTTGTTGTTGGTTAGTCACTAACCAAGTTGTGTCCAACTCTGAGATCCTATGGACTATAGCATGTCAGGCTTTCCTGTCCTTCACTGTCTCCTGGAGTTGGCTTAAACTAACATCCACTGAGTCAATGATGCCATCCAACCATCTCATCTTCTGTCACCCCCTCCTCTTCCTGCCTTCCATCTTTCCCAGCATTAGGGTCTTTTCCAGTGAGTCAGCTCTTTGCATCAGGTGGTCAAAGTATTGGAGCTTCAGCATCAGTCCTTCCAATGAATATTCAGGACTGATTTCCTTTATGATGGACTGGTTGGATCTCCTTGCAGCTCAAGGGACTCTCAAGAGTCTTCTCCAACACCACAGTTCAAAAGCATCAATATTCGGTGCTCAACTTTCTTTATGATCCAAATTTCACATCCATACATGACCACCAGATAAACCATAGTGCTCACTAGACAGACCTTTGTTGGCAAAGTAATGTCTCTGCTTTTTAATATGCTGTCTAGGTTGGTCATAACTTTTCTTCCAAGGAGCAAACGTCTTTTAATTTCACAGCTGCAGTCACCATCTACAGTGATTTTGGAGCCCCAAAAAATAAAGTCTCTCACTGTTTCCATTGTTCCCCCATCTATTTGCCATGAAGTGATAGGACCAGATGCTGTGATCTTTGTTTTCTGAATGTTGAGGTTTAAGCCAACTTTTTCACTCTCTTCTTTCACTTTCATCAAGAGGCTCTTTAGTTCTTCTCCACTTTCTGCCATAAGGGTGGTGTCATCTGCATATCTGAGGTTATTGATATTTCTCCCGGCAGTCTTGATTCAAGCTTGTGCTTCATCCAGCCCAGCATTTCACATGATGTACTCTGCATATAAGTTAAATAAGCAGGGTGACAATATATAGCCTAGACATATTCCTTTTTTGATTTGGAACCAGTCTGTTTTTCCATGTCCAGTTCTAACTATTGCTTCCTGACCTTCATACAGATTTCTCAGGAGGTCGGTCAGGTGGTCTGGTATTCCCATCTCTTTCAGAATTTTCCACAGTTTATTGTGATCCACACAGTCAAAGGCTTTGACATAGTCAATAAAGCAGAAATAGATGTTTTTCTGGAACTCTTGCTTTTTCGATGATCCAGCGGATGTTGGCAATTTGATCTCTGGTTCCTCTGCCTTTTCTAAAACCAGCTTGAACATCTGGAAGTTCATGGTTCACATACTGTTGAAGCCTGGCTTGGAGAATTTTGAGCATTACTTTACTAGTGTGTGAGATGAGTGCATTTGTGCAATAGTTTGAACATTCTTTGGCATTGCTTTTCTTTGGGATTGGAATGAAAACATATACACTACTATATATAAAATAGATAACTAATAAGGACTGACTGTATAGCCCAGGGAACTCTACTCAATATTCTATGGAGAAAGAATCTAAAACAGAGTGAACATATGTATAAGTAAAAAAATTTATTGGAGAGTGTTTAATATAAAAAAAGAAATCGACAAGTTGATTCTAAAATTCATAGGGAAATGCAGAAGAGCTAGAAAAGTCAAAACAATTTTGAAATAAAGAACAAATTAATAAATTACCCAAATATATAGAATATATATAATATACATTAAAAACATATATATTTATAATATATGTGTAACATATATATATGTAAATATATTTATATATTTTCTATTCTGTTACTTTAATATGTACAGTATTTTCAACATCTTATAATAGCTACCAACAAATGTTATGAGATTTTAGATATCCATATATTTAAAAATTAACTTTGATCTATACTTATTTCCATGTATAATAATTAACTCAAAATATATGATAGAACTAAATGTAAAACCTAAAGCTATAATGTACTTAGAAGTAAACTTAGGAGAAAGCCTTTCTGATCTTGTATAAGACAAATAATTTTTAGATATAACATCAAAGCACAACAGGTAAAATTTTAAAATTGATAAATTGGATTTCATCAAAATTTAGAACTTCTGCTCTTTGAAATACACTGTTAAGAGGAGTAATAGAAACTGTGGACTGGTGGCAAATCAAATATCTGAAAAAGAACTTACATATCAAATATATAAAAATATTCTTTAAACTCAACAATAAGAAAATAGCTCAATTTTTAAAAAGGGCAAAGAATTTGGAAAGATACTTCAATAGAGAAGATGATACATATGTCAAATAAGCACATTAACAGATGCTCAATGTCATTAATTATTATGGCAATTCATAAAACAACCATGAGATATCACTTTACATCCATAAGAAAAGCTAAAATTAAAGACTATTTCAAGTATTGGAGGACTTAGATGTGGAAGACCTAAATCTCTCATACATTGCTTTGTAAATCATATAATCACTTTGAAAAATATTTAAAAAGTTAAATGCACACCTAATATGTAAAAGAGGAGAGTGAAAAAGTTGGCTTAAAGTTAAACATTCAGAAAACAAAGATCATGGCATCTGGTCCCATCACTTCATGGCAAATAGATGGAGAAACAGTGGAAACAGTGGCGGATTTTATTTTTTGGGGCTCCAAAATCACTGCAGATGGTGACTGCAGCCATGAAATTAAAAGATGCTTACTCCTTGGAAAAAAATTATGACCAACCTAGACAGCATATTAAAAAGCAGAAATGTTACTTTGCTAACAAAGATCCATCTAGTCAAGGCTATGGTTTTTCCAGTAGTCATGTATGGATGTGAGAGTTGGACTATAAAGAAAGCTGAGCACCTAAGAATTGATGCTTTTGAACTGTGGTGTTGGAGAAGACTCTTGCGAGTCCCTTGGACTGCAAGTAGATCCAACCAGTCCATCCTAAAGGAAATCAGTCCTGAATGTTCACTGGAAGGACTGATGCTGAAGCTGAAACTCCAGTACTTTGGCCACCTGATGCAAAGAGCTGACTCATTTGAAAAGACCCTGATACTGGGAAAGACTGAAGGCGAGAGGAGAAAGGGACGACAGAGGATGAGATGGTTGGATAGCATCACCGACTCAATCGACATCGACATGAGTTTGAGTAAACTCTGGGAGATGGTGATGGACAGGGAGGCCTGGCGTGCTGTGGTTCATGGGGTCACAAAGAGTCAGACACTACTGAGCGACTGAACTGAACTGAATATGTATAATCTAGTCATTCTACTCCTAGGTATTTCCCCAAGAGAACACATATGTCCACAAAGACAGACATGAACATTCATAACACCTTTATTTAAAACATCCCAAATTTGAAATAAGCCAAATGTTCATTAGTGGGTGAATGGATACACTGTGGCATATCCATACAATGAAATATTATTCATCAATATATAGAAATGAAGTATTCATCCATGCAGCAACACTAATGCATCTCAAACTTATTATGCTAAGAAAAAGTCAGACAAAAAGAATATATAGTGTACCGTTCCATTTCTATAAGGTGCTAGAATGTGCAAATTAATCTAGAGTGATAGGAAGCAGATCAGTGGGGGAGTGAGGAGGAGTTCCAAGGAGGGAGAAGGGTAAGGGTTACACAGCTGTTCCAAGAAACTTGGGGGTGATGGATACATTCATTATCTCCACTGTGGTGATGATCTCACAGGTGTATACATAAAATCAAAACTTATCTAATTGTCTACTTTAAATGTGTGCAGTTTATTACATGCCAAGTGTATCTCAGTAACATTGACAAAATACACAAGCAAACTGATCTGAGCGCATATGGCCCATACTCTAGGGCCAGTGGCTTTGCAGTTGGACATGTGCTCCTTTCTTAGTTCCCTGTGAATAGGGAGTCACTGGGAGTTGACTCCCCCATGAACAGCCCAGAGTTGACTTGGGTTTTCTGATAATATGTAACTGGCTTAGAACTGCTGTTACAATATTTTGATCACTGTCAGTTCCTACAAAAAAGAATGTTAAAAGTCAGGGAAATTAAGTTTGAGGATTATGTTTATGTATCATTGTACTCACTTTCAGACAATTCTACTCACTCCCAGAGTCTTGCTTTTCCTGCAGGGATGGAGCTTTTTCTGTCAGTTCAGTCTGGCCCTCTGATTTTGTTCCTGCAAGGAGAAAGGAAATGCCTCGTATGTTTAAGGTAAGTGTCCATGCTGCTGTTGGATTCCTTATACATTTTGTTTCATCCCTTTCTTTTCTGTTCATAGGGGTCAAGCCTCCTTGGGCTGGTAAAGTATTAGTACTTGGAGGTTAAGATTTTAGAAGGGCTGTGGAATTGTTCCCCACTCCATCCCACTTGCCACAAGAAATCTAGCCCCCTAAGTCTTATTCAAACATACTATAAATAGGTTTTTGCAAGTATCACGGTCTTTCATCCTACACTTAAACTTAAGATTTAAAATACAAATATTCCGCAGGGTGTCCATTCACTCCACACTAAGGCAATCAGACAGATATGATTCATAGCTGAAAACAGGGAAAGCTTAAAAACAGAACAGTGCTGGGGCAGAGGATGTGAAAGAAGAGGGGGAAACAATGACAGAGGAAGAGTGATAATATACTTCCAGGTCAAGTGTACAGGGAGGTAAGTTCATGGACCTGCATTAACATGAGTATGCAGCTTCTAAAACTATAGTCACTTTGTAAAATAAGTCTTCTCTGAGGCAACATTTTGAAGCCATAATTCAGATTCAAACCAAGAGAACACAATGGAAAAATTGGGGGAAGATGTTATTTTGCAATCTAAAAAATAGACACTCTGCTCTTTAAAACTCATGTAAAAATTAAAGTGATTCTGGAATGGGTACAATAAGGTGACAGAAAGAGCAAAGGTTTCTTATTCCCTTGAGACCCTTGTGGTTAGTCAGCCTAGAAATCTTGGCCTTAACAAAAGCCACACAAGAGTATTCTTAGTTCCTTAACACAAAGATAGACATTTATTTCGATGTTATTCAACCACCAAGAGCCCCTACAAAGATCTGGCTATTTGGAACTGACTTAGAGTGGTATCTTATTATATCACTGATGCTTACTTGATGACCACAAAAGAAAGTTGTATATAGAAATGTAGACTTTAAGCTTAATTATACAACTTAAAATTTAAATTTGATTTGCCATTTAATACGTTGGCCACCTAATGCAAAGAGCTGACTCATTGGAAAAGACCCTGATGCTGGGAAAGATTGAGGGAAGGAGAAGGGGACGACAGAGGATGAGATGGTTGGATGCATCACCCACTCAATGGACATGGGTTTGGGTGGACTCAGGGAGTTGGTGATGGGCAGGGAGGCCTGGCGTGCTGTGGTTCATGGGGTCGCAAAGAGTCGGACACGACTGAGTGACTGAACTGACTGACTGAGTAACGATATAAATTATAGACATGTAGCAGTCAGGAAAGCATGAGTGTTTCTGAATATTTCTAATGTAACAACAAAAAACTACTCAGCATTCTGTAGCATCACAATTGATTGTGATGATTGCAATTGCGCAAAGAATTGCCATTTCAGAGATAATCTAAAGGTGCAAAGGTGTGTGTTAGAACTGAAGAAATAGAGGCTCAGAGTGGAGGTTCTGGCATCAGATTGCCTGCATTCTACCCAGCCGTGCTCTTGTCCTCGCACCCATAAAATGGAGAGAAGAGTCCTAACTACCCACTGAGCTTTCTGTGAGGATTCATTCAATTGGCACATGTAAATTTCTTAGAGCAGTTCCTGGTACGGCGACAATGAAAGTGAAGGTGTTAGTCACTCAGGCATGTCGGACTCTTTGCCACGACCCCATGGACTGTAGCCAGTCCATAGAATTCTCCAGGCAAGAATACCAGAGTGGGTTGCCATTTCCTCCTCCAGGAAATCTTCCCAACCCAGGAATCGAACCCACGTCTCCTGCATTGCAGGCAGATTCTTTACACTCTGAGCCACCAGGAAATAAATAGTAGTTATTTTCATTTGATGAAGTAAAAGATCTTAGGTAGTCAGATAACACTGGTGGTTTTATGAGGATCAAAATAGAAGTGATTCTGACATTTTCCTTCTGGCCTGGCTCTGACGGCTTACATCACCTATTTTACTACTAGGAAGAGGGTAATATTATTTGAAGTGTCATTTACTCAACAGTTGTGAGTGTAGTGGAAAAATGCTAGACAGGCTGGCATAGAGAATGTCTGCTTTCTTATAACCTAGATATTCCTTACATCATTCTAGGTCACAGCTTTCCAGCTCTCAGCACCTAGTAATAGATATTCAATCCCAATCTTAGCAGATAGCGAGAATAAGAAGAGTGAGTGGGTGGGTGTGCTGAGTGAATTGCACAAGATATTGAGAAAAAGTCATTCCAGAGACCGGTCAATCTATGTTCTGAAAGAGGCTTATGACAGCAATCTACCCCTGATCAAAACCACCCAGACAGCTGCAATCATAGGTATGGATTTACAACATTATCCTGCTAGGTTCACACCCCTCACCACAGTCCCAGTGTCGAAATCTGAAAACGTTAACTTTATCCACAACTCATTTGTCAGCAAAACCTGATTGAATGAGGCTCTATGGGTGGCAGGGGGTGGGGGTGAGTGGAGAGGTCCTTCTTCCTCCATCCCATGGCTATTCATCAGATTCTCTGCAAAAATATATTTGATTATATTATGGTTCTCTGCCTAAAGGGGGTGTTTCTTTAATCTACAGCTATACCTTTTCAAGTCTGAAAAATTCTTAGTTTCCAAATACATCTGGCCCCAAACAGACAAGGATGTGACCCTCTGTGTAACTGTGAACTACTTACCTTGAGGGCAGAGACTGTCCTTCAAATCCCAACACCCAATACTCAGTAAATAAATGAAAAGCAAAGGAATCAATGAATGAATTGCAGAGATTGATACTGAAAGTTTTATCAGTAAGCAAGAATACTTGCCTTTCTTAAACAGCATATTTCTGCATCAGATAATGGTGACAATAAGAGCCACTTAGCTATTGCCTCCTTGGTGACATGGAGCTAGTTACTAAGTTTTTACGTGTTAAATGCAGATAATTCCAGTTTTTCAGTTATGGAGAGGATTAAATGAACTTGTATATGTTAAGCTCTGTGCTCTGTGTTCAAAGTCTTCACTTACTGTGGTATCTGCATTTTTTAGTTCTCACTGTGTCCTGATACACACTCCCATGCTTTTGTAGCTCAAGTCACGGCCACTGACAAATTATTTTATGAAATTTTTTCATTTGTGAAACACCACTTATAGCAAATCTGAAAGTATATCATTACTTAACTATTATGCTTTCTTCAAGTATTCATAAAGATTACCTTATAAAATGATCGTTCTATTGAGAAAAACCATGTTTTATAATGCTTACTTGTGTAATCTGAAGGAATCATAGTACAAATTATTGGTTCTTGTGTTTCTTTTCATTGAATGTTTCTAATTATATATTTAATTTGACTTCTAAAATTTTTCAACATTGATAAATTGATTCACTTAGTTTGCCCCCAAATTCCTTGATGTTTTTATTTATGTGTCAAATATAGATCACAAAAGAATTGCTCTGGGAAATGAAGAAGGGTTATTTGTTGTCCACGTTATCATAGATGGTAAGGAGAGTCTTTAATGTTCTGGAATAACTTTAAAGTTTAATAATAATATATCAAATTTGTTCTCTTTTGTCCACATCTGGTTTGATGTGTTTTCAAGTCACAGTATGACTCGCCTACTTTCAGAGATCCATAATCCTCCAGAGTTCAAACATGTTTTTAAAAAATTTCTTATTGGAGTATAACTGACTTACAATGTTGTGTTAGTTTCAGGTGTACTGTGAAGTGATTCAATTACACCTATTCATTCTTTTTCAGATTATTTACCCATGTAATTATTACAGAATATGAATAGAGTTCCCTGTGCTATACAGTAGGCCCTTGTTAATTATTTTATGTGTAGTAGGGAGTCCATATATATTCACAAGGGATTTTACCTAATAAGTGTGCTGTAAGAACTTAATGTACCATCTTCTAGTTCATGCATGGAGGAAAACACTTCTGCTTGAATGCCCCTTCCCTCACTAGTTCATTGGCACCATGAAGAGTAACAACATACATTTAATATTTCCCAGATAAGACAGCAGAATTCTTTGTTTTGTTTTGTTTGTTTTTGTTTGGTTCTCATAGTTGCTTGAGGGAGAAATGGGCGAATAGCTGAAATGAAGAGGAGTTATTCTAATGAAGCTGTTCTAGTGAATGTCTTGCATTCAAATGATAAGTTAGATAAAGGAGAACCTGCATTTGAAAGACATTAGCTATTCTCCACGAAAGGCGTCCCAGTCCTGGTGAGGAGACCCATGAAAGGTCCCCAGGGGCCAGCATGAGAGCAGGGCCTTTTGTCTTTTTGTTCAGCCCTGTATCCATGCACTTAAAAGTGCCTGGCACATAGTAATCACTCAACAAATACTTGTGCGATAAAGGAATCAAATTAGTGCCAGGAAAAAAGAGGACAGTGTTGTTTTTCTTTTTTTTTCCCTGAAGAAGCAGTTCGGAATTTTCTGGCCATCCAGTGGTTAGGACTTAGCGCTTTCATTGCCAAGACCCTAAGTTCTATCCCTGGTGATATCTAGATCCCTCAAGCCTCGCAGCAAGGAAAAAAAAAGAAAGACAGAAAAGCAGCATATTTCTATTCGTCAGACATTGAGGGATGTTTGCCTTGCTATCTGAAATATCAGGATTAAGTTGAGTGCTTTATTATGCTAATTTTGTGATTAAGGTAATTATATTATCTCTGGAATAATTATCTGTATTTAACATATAATTTTTTATCTCTTCTCTTGCTATCCTATTTTGTCCTCAAATCTATCCTCTAAGTTTATGTCTGTGATTTTATTAGAATATGACTTAAACCCAATGGAGTAATAATTGGAAAGAATTTAAAAATACAAAAACATTCTTTTGCACAGCAAAGGAAACCATCAATAAAAGGTAAAAGCAGCCTACCAAATGGGAGAAAATATTTGCAAATCATAGCTTATAAGGGGTTAATATCCAAAATACATAAAGAACTTGTGCAACTCGATAGCAAAAAGCAATCTGATTAAAAAATGGGCAGAAGATCTGAATAGATATTTTCCCAAAGAAGACATACAGATGGCCAACAGGTACAAGAAAGGTGCTCAAGACCACTAGGAGAATGAAAATCACAGCCACAACAAGATATCATCCCACACCTGTTAACATGGCTATTATTAAAAAGCCAAGAAATAACAAATATTGGTGAGGATGTGGAGAAAAGAGAACCTTTGTACTCTGTTGTCGGCAATGTATATTGCTACGGGCATATGGAAAACAGTATTGAAGTTCCTCAAAAATTAAAAATAAAACCACTATATGATCCAACAGCTTCACTTCTGTATATCTTATCAAACAAAACAAAAGCACTAACTCAAAAATGTATCTGTACCTCCATGTTCATTGCAGCATTATTTGTACTAGTCAAGAAATAAAAACAACCTAAATGTTTACCAACAGATGAGCAGATAAAGATGTGAGATATACATACATATAAATATATTCAAGGGATTAAATCTGATAGACAGAGTGCCTGAAGAACTATGGACAGAGGTTTGAAACATTGTATAGGAGGCGATGATCAAACCATCCCCAAGAAAACAAAATGCAAAAAGGCAAAATGGTTGTCTAAGGAGGCCTTACAAATAGCTGAGAAAAGAAGAGACATGAAAGGCAAAGGAGAAAAGGAAAGATATACCTATCTGAATGCAGAGTTCCAAAAAATAGCAAGGAGAGATAAGAAAGCCTTCCTCAGTGATCAATGCAAAGAAATAGAAGAAAACAATAGAATGGGAAAGACTAGAGATCTCTTCAAGAAAATTAGAGATACCAAGGGTACATTTCATGCAAAGATGGGCACAATAAAGGACAGAAATGGTATGGACCTAACAGAAGCAAAAGATGTTAAGAAGAGGTGGCAAGAATACACAGAAGAACTGTACAGAAAAGATCTTCATGACCCAGATAACCATGATGGTGTGATCACTCACTTAGAGCCAGACATCCTGGAGTGCAAAGTCAAGTGGGCCTTAGGAAGCATCACTACGAACAAAGCTAGTGGAGGTGATGGAATTCCAGTTGAGCTATTTCAAATCCTGAAAGATGATGCTGTGAAAGTGCTGCACTCAATATGCCAGCAAATTTGGAAAACTCAGCAATGGCCACGGGACTGGAAAAGGTCAGCTTTCATTCCAATCTCAAAGAAAGACAGTGCCAAAGAATGCTCAAACTACCACACAATTGCACTCATTTCACATGCTAGTAAAGTAATGCTCAAAATTCTCCAAGTCAGTCTTCAACAGTACATGAACTGTGAACTTCCAGATGTTCAAGCTGGATTTAGAAAAGGCAGAGGAACTAGAGATCAAATTGTTAACATCTGTTGGATCATAGAAAAAGCAACAGAATTCCAGAAAAAAATCTGCCTCATTGGCTACACTAAAGTTTTTGACTGTGTGGATCACAAGAAACTGTGGAAAATTCTGAAAGAGATGGGAATACCAGGCCACCTCACCTGCCTCCTGAGAAGTCTGTATCCAGGTCAAGAAGCAACAGTTAGAACCAGACTGAAACAATGGACTGGTTCCAAATAGGAAAAGGAGTGTGTCAAGGCTGTATATTGTCACCCTGCTTATTTAACTTATATGCAGAGTACATCATGAGAAGTGCTGGACTGGATGAAGCACAAGCTGGAATCAAGATTGCTGGGAGAAATATCAATAGCTTCACATATGCAGATGACACCACCCTTATGGCAGAAAGGGAAGAGAAACTAAAGAGCCTGTTGATGAAGGTGAAAGAGGAGAGTGAAAAAGCTGGCTTAAAACTCAACATTCAAAAAACAAAGATCATGGCATCTGAATCCATCACTTCATGGCAAATAGATGGGGAAACAATGGAAACAGTGACAGACTTTATTTTTTTGGGCCCCAAAATCACTGCAGAGGGGGTGACTGCAGCCTTGAAATTAAAAGACGTTTGTTCCTTGGAAGAAAAGCTATGACCAACCTAGACAGCATATTAAAAAGCACAGACATTAGTTTGCCAACAAAAGTTTGTATAGTCAAAGCTTTGGTTTTTCCAGTAGTCATGTATGGATATGAGAGTTGGACCATAAAGTAGGCTGAGTGTCAAAGAATTGATGCTTTTGAACTGTGGTGTTGAAGAAGACTCTTCAGAATCCTTTGGACTGTAAGGAGATTAAACCAGTGAATCCTAAAGGAAATCAGTCCTGAATATTCATTGGAAGGACTGATGCTGAAGCTGAAGCTCCAGTACTTTGGGCACCTGATGTGAAGAGCTGACTCATTAGAAAAGACTCTGATGCTGGGAAAGATAGAAGGCAGGAGGAGAAGGGAACGACAGAGGATGAGATGGTTGGATGGCATCAGCAACTCAATGGACATGAGTTTGAGTAAGCTCTGGGAGTTGGTGAAGGACAGAGAAGCCTGGCATGCTGCAGTCCGTGGGGTCACAGAGTTGGACATGACTGAGCAACTGAACAATAACAATTATATATATTTAATTCAGCCATAAGAAAGAAAGAACTCAATTTTCAACAGTATGAATGAACATCGAGGATGTTACTCAAAGTAAAAAAAGTCAGACAGAGAAAGATAAATAGCATATGATCTCACTTATGTGGAATCTAAACACAAACACATTCACAGATACAGAGAACAACTGAGGTTGTTGGAGGTGGGGATAATGGGCAAAATGGGTGAGGGGGTTTTAAAGGTGTAAACTGCCCATCATCAATAAGTCTTGGGTATGTCATGTACAGGCAAGTGGCTATGGTTAGTAATATGCATATTTGAAAATTGCTAAGAAAGTTTATTGCAAAAAGTTTTTTTAATTAGTTTATTTTAATTGGAGGCTAATCACTTTACAATATTGTGGTGTGTTTTGCCATACATTGACATGAATCAGCCACAGGTGTACATGTGTCCCCCTGTTCTGAACTCCCCTCCCACCCCCCTCCCCATCCCATCCCTCTGGGTTGTCCCAGTGCGCCAGCTTTGAGTGCCCTGTTGCATGCATTGAACTTGGACTGGTGATCTATTTCACATGTGGTAATATACATACTTCAATGCTATTCTCTCAAATCATCCCACCCTCGCCTTCTGTTCTTTATATCTGTGTCTCTTTTGCTGTCTCTCATATAGGGTCATCATTACCAATCTTTCTAAATTCCATATATATGCATTAATATACTGTATTGGTGTTTTTCTTTCTGACTTACTTCAGTCTGTATAATAGGCTCCAGTTTCATCCACATCGTTAGAACTGATTCAACTGCATTCTTTTTTAATAGCTGAGTAATATTCCATTGTGTATGCGTACCACAGCTTTCTTATCCATTCATCTGCCGATAGACATCTAGGTTACTTCCATGTCCTAGCTATTGTAAACAGTGTACACTGGGGTACACGTGTCTCTTTCAATTCTTGTTTCCTCGGTATGTATGCCCAGCAGTGGGATTGCTGGGTTGTATGGTTTTTCTAGTTTTTTAAGGAATCCCCACACTGTTCTCCATAGTGGCTGTACTAGTTTGCATTCCCACCAACAGTGTAAGAGGGTTCCCTTTTCTCCACACCCTCTTCAGCATTTATTGTTTGTAGACTGCAAAAGTTTTTATTACAAGAAAAAAAATTATAATTATATATGGTATTGGCTATTGACTAGATTTATTTTGGTGACCATTTCTCAATACATACAAATATTGAATCGTGATGTTGTACACCTGAAACTAATATATTGTTATATGTCCAATATACCTCAATAAAGAGATTTTTTTTAAATAAGAAAACATTTCCAATTTAAAGGAGAACTTGCCATTTTATTTGTAGAGAAACTAGTCAAGTTAGTGGCATTAAGAAGATTTATTAGATCAGTTTTATTAGGACCTTTCTTAATTGCTTTGGGTGAAATTTGGAGAACTTTTGAAATAAGTAAATACAAATTATTTTGAATTTGAAAATGACTTACAAATATGTTTGAATGTGTAGAAATTATTCGTGTCGGTGACATAAAGAAGATTCACCAAATTGAGCTTATCCCCCATGGCCAGATGGTCGCAGTGATCTCAGGGCGAAGTCACCACGTGCAGCTATTTCCCATGTCAGTTCTGGATGGAGGAAAGACTGGTAGTCACAAGCTGGCGGAAACCAAAGGCTGCCACACCATGACTTCTGGAACAGTGTGCCAAGGGGCCCACACATGCCTCTGTGTGGCTAGGAAAAGCCAAGTCTTCTGTTACGAGCTGTTTCAGAGCAATAAAATTTCTCACAGAAAATATAAAGAACTCCAGATCCCAACCACTGTCCAGTGGATGGGCATCTTCAATGAACAGCTCTGTGTAGGATTTCAGTCAGGATTCCTCAGATTCCCCTTGAGGAGAGAAGGCGTTCCATACAGGATGCTGCACTTCCATGACCCTACACTGTCATTTATCGCTCATCAACCAGTGGATGCTCTCTGTGCAGTTGAGATCTCTAGTATTGAGTATCTGTTATGTTTCAAGAGCATCGGAATTTACACTGACAGCAGGGGCCTCAGATCTAGGCCAGTTGAACTGATGTGGCCAGCACCTCCAACTTATTGCTGTAAGGCTTTCTTATGATTTATTTTCTTGTCTCTCTGTACCTTTCTGTCCTTGTTGTTACAGTTTTATATCCTATTACTAAATATTGTTAATGACAGCTTTAATTTTTGAAAGCATCACTGAAGATTTTTCCTAAGTTGTCTATGTCTTTTCAAGTAGAAGAGCTCTAAAGAAGTTATATCTAATCAAACGTGTGAAATAACAGCCTTTAATGCTTACTATATCCAATGCTTACTATATTCATTGGATAACTTACCTTGAATATATTCTTAACCCAAGTTGTTGCTTTTTGTAAGATCCTAAGTAGATGTCCTCATGGTCACTTAAAATCACATAAGCATTAACTAACTGTTAGAATATAGTTAGAATATAACTGTTAGAAATAGTTACTAAGTAAATTACTTTTTGCCTTTTGGGTTTAGCTTATGTAAAGTCTACATAGAATGTTCAAATAATTTTATATTAAATAATTTTAAATATTTAAATTAAAATAAAATAATTTTAGCTTATTTGATATTTTATTGATGCAGGCTATCATTTTATAATTTTAATACAACTTTCTTATTCACTTAGAGCATAGTAATTGAGCACTTAATATAAACAACTTGCTATGCTAAAGGCTAAGGGCACAACATTAAACCTGGTAAAACAGACAGAGTGAATCCTTATGGAGATTATAATCATGGTATGAGATCAATAATTAAGAAAGTGCTGTGATAGGGAGTACAGTATTCTATAGGAGCATGCAGGAGGAAAGCTTAATCTAAACTAGTGAGTCTGGGAAGGTCAGCTAAAAAACTGAGTCATTTTTATCTTTCAACACTTTAAAAATGTCATTCTACTGTTTTCTAACATCCATCATTTCTGATGAGAAATCAACTGTTTTTATTATTCATTGATTTTACTCCCCACATATACTTTTCTAATCTTATGCCATACTCTTTCAGTGAGCTGACATGGTTTAGGATTCATAGATTTTGAAAAGTTATGAAATTACTTAATAATGCTGCTATTAGATGAAGGCATTAGAAAGATCATTGTCAGATTTTACGCATGTGTTTTAATCTACAATTTGACACATGTGCATCACTTATTTGCCATTTTAATTTATGTTAATCCTGTTTATTAAAAAAGATTTTGAGGCAGCTACTATATAATAATTAAAATATTATTGAGGGATTCTCTTTGGTTTCCAATCTGAAGTTTTTCTTAAAGTGTATTTGGGCTTAGCAGATATAATTAATCATGAATACGGTATGACTCCATGTACATAACGTTTTTGAAATGACAAAATTTTATAAATGGAGTAAGAGATTAAGGAAGGAGAGGAAGATGGAAAGGAAGTGGGTGGGATTATAAAAGTGCATCATGGGAGATCCTTGGAACTATTCTGTGTCTTGTGGTGGTGGACACATAAACCTATACAAGTGGTAAAATTGTATGTATATGACACATACACATACATGTGCACGAGTGCTAGTAAAACTGGGGAAATCTGCTTAAGATGGATAGGTCAGCTCTATCATTGTCAATATGCTAGTTCTGCAAAATGTTACATTAGGGAAAACTGGCAGAATGTGCAAGAGATCTTTCTGTGTTATTTATTACAAGTGCATGTGAATTTATAATTATCCTAATAAAAAATTCTAATTGAAAAATGAATCCTGAAGCCCACCCTTGCTGTCACCTCCTCCCCTTCTCCCAGGTTACAATGCCCCATATCTCTCAGTGTACAGTGAAAACGCAGTGGACATCTTTGATGTGAACACCATGGACTGGATGCAGACCATCCCCCTCAAGAAGGTGACTCTACACTGAGATCATGTGACTGATGAATTACTGACTGAATATGGAAACTCAGTTGTGCATTTGCTGGACTTTCTAATGTGTACTTGGTAATTTAGAGGCTTAGCTAAGACTAAAAATAACCAAAAGAAACCAAATTGGTTAATTTCATTACTAGTACAAGAAATCTCTTGTGATATTTAGTTGCATTATATAAAGTAGGATTTTCATGATATAAGTGTGTGCTGTTTATTTACATAGATAAAATATGCATATTTGGGGCTTCCGAGGTGACTCAGCGGGTAAAGAATCCACCTGCTGTGCAGGAGATGCAGGCAGATGCAAGTTCAGTCCCCAGGTCGGAAAGATCATCTGGAGGAGGGCATAGCAGCCCACTCCAGTATTCTTGCCTGGAGAATCCCATGGACAGAGGAGCCTGGTGGGCAACAGTTCATAGGGTTGCAAAGAGTCAAACACGACTGAAGTGACTGAGCACACACATGCATATTTTATATCATACAATACAGATATTACTTCCCACTTTCACTTTAGTCACTTGTATTTATCACTAATTTTCACTTAGTATAATTTTGCACCCTGTGAAGGAAAATTTTACTGGCAGAAAAAGGAATAGTATATAACCAAAACTGTGCTTCAGCTCTGATTTTCAATTAGAATTTCAGATTCATAATAAAATAAAAATTTTGTATCTATACTGTAAATAATTTAAAGTATACATTAAAATTTCAAAGTAAAAACACTGCTATTTTGTTAAGAGGAGCCCGTGTTTGAAGATTTAAGAATAATTAATTCTGACATATGTGGAGTATACATATCTTGAGCCATCAAAAAGGAAATTTATATAGGAAAGGATGAAGGAAGTATTCACAATTATATGTGAGATTTTGCCCCACTTTAAACAATATCAGCAGCAACAAAAACTTTCGTAAGTACTGTCCCACTACATAAAAAATTAAAATATACTTTTCCAGCATTCTGAATGTGAACAAGTCACACTTAGTTTGATAGAATGAATTCACAAGACAGATGCATCTTCTCAGGAAAATCTTGTAGTTACTAATATAATAAGTGTCAAAAAGTTAATAGAAGAATGAAGTACATATATCTATTTAAGTTAGTAATATTCAGTTTTTTTAATCTGTAATATTCATGTTTCTGAAATTTTATCAGTATGCCTTTGTAACACCATCTATTTCCTTTAACTGGTTTTTTTGAGACTAGGTTACTCAGGGGGCAATGTAAACAGAATATATTTATTCTTAATTCTTTATATGTAAGCAAGTAGCCATATAACAATTTTTAAAAAGCATTCACTGAAATGGTAATCTTTTTTTATTATTATTTTAGGTTCGACCCTTGAATAGTGAAGGATCCCTAAATATTTTTCTTTTGGAGACAGTTAGATTAATATATTTCAAAAATAAGACAAGTAAGAAACAACTTCTTCTTAGTAAAACTTCTAAGAAACCGTGTCTCTAGCTGAATGCCGCAAGTCGCAGAGCCAGTGAGTGGAGAGAGTCTGACGTGAATGTCTGTGCCCTTTACACACAGTCTTGGGATGTGCTCCCGGCAACGTATTTCTCTTTCATCCTCACATAGCAGTAGAGATAAAAACATTTACTTGTGGCACACAACGGCTATTTTTAAAGCAGGACTGCTGGTTGCACATAAACACCTGGAAATACTAATCAACCATTTGAACGCTCACTTGTGAAGAGCCATTCATTTCCCAGCAGGCTCTGCGACCAGACATGCGTCAGCTTTAGCGCACAGCCGGGAAGCAGTCCTAGTCCGCGCGTCACCCGCTCGCTCTTCTCCCGCCCACGTCAAAAACAGCAGCAGATTTGAAGTGTGAGACCAGTCATAGGGGTTCATTTCTCTGTCTTTTTTCTTATTTAATTTATAGGATGGAATATCTAGCACAGCAGAGAATTAGTTTGCTGTGACTTCCATAGACTGAGTGGCTTAAACCACAGAAATGTATTGTCTCACAGTCCTGGCGACCAGAATCAGAGATCAGGGTGTCAGCAGGGCTGGTTCCTCTTCAGGGCTGTGAGAAAAAACCTTATCCGTGTGTCTCTGCTAACTTCTGGTGACTTGCCAGGAGTCTGTTCCTTGGCTTTCAGATATGTCACCCTTGACATGGGCCTTCACCTTCATGTGGCGTACTCCCTCGTGCTTGTCTGCGTCCAAATCTCCTCTTTTTGTAAGGACACAATCAGATTAGGTCCCACCCCAATGATTTCATATTAACTTAATCATCTGCAAAGATCTTAATTGGAAATAAGGTATATCACATTCAGCTGCGGGGGTCGGGGGGTGGTGGCGGTTAGGATGACGTCTTCTAGGGGGACACCATTTAACCCATAGAAGCACTCTTATTTTCTTTTTGGAATCTTAAGACAGTTTTGAGGGTTTCTGGGTGACAGTTTATTGACTTCTAGATATGAAGGGCTGAAACAGAGTAAGTCCTAGATTCTTAGGGTACATCCTTCCCCAAAGATCAGAAGAAGCAACAAGTAGAGACTGACTCTTACCTCCAGAAGAAGGGAAGTGGGGTCCGCTTACTCCATGTCAGTACCTTTTCCTCCTGCAGGGAGCCTCAGAAATGCTTTGCTCAGTTACAGTCATTATAATTGTTTTCAGCATAAAAGACTATTTTGATATCCTTTAGCCACAAAAATCTGGTAGGAGAAAAACAGCAAAGTGAAAAGACACAAACTTGATTGCCCTCTCCTTCCAGTGAAATGATGTCATTTTATAGATAAAAGTCACAATAGATCTCTTTTTAAGTATTGCTTACCTCAAACATTAAATTCTCTTCATTAATGCTCTGTTACTATTCTTGAGAAATTTGCCATGTTCATCCACTATGAACTTTAAGAAATCAGAGCAATATGATATTTGTGCAGTTCATTAACAGCTGTGAAATTAACAAGAGAAAATGTGAGATTAATGGATGGGATCTCTTAACATTTTAAAAAACGACATTGTTTTGTTTTAAAATATGTGTAGATGGAGAGGAGCTGGTATCTTCTGAAACACCAGATAATCAAGAGAAGCAAATGGTTCAGCACCTTAGCAGCAAGCGGCGTTATTCCTTCAGGGTTCCCAGAGCAAAAGCAATGCTACCAAAGGGGCTGTGATGACCGTCTCTTCACACATGGTCCAGAGAGACTACTCGGGGACGATGTGATATTTGATGTGATTTGGAAGAAAAGGAAATAAATCTGTGAAACTCGGGCAGAGACATTTGTTTGCAGTGGTGTTATGCTTATTTTTCTGTGCAACTTTATTTTGAAAATTTTCCCCAGTTTGATTGAAATATAATTGACATATAACAATGTATAACTTCAAGGTGTATAGCATAATGGTTTAAACATTTATTATGAAATGATTACTACAAATAGTTGAATTAGCCTCCATCATCTCATATATATATATACAATAAAAGAGCAAACATTTTTTCCTTGTGAGAACTCTTAGATTTACTCTCTTAACAACTTTCATATATACCATACAGCAGTGGTAACTATTTCATAAAGTTGTTCATTACAACCCAAGGACTTATAACTGGAAGTTTATACCTTCCCGCCACCTCCACCTCTATGCAACTTTAAAGAAAACCTTCATGTAGTGAGTATGAATAGATATGTAATACATCGATACATTTCTCTGTGAAGATGGGATAATTGAAAATCGGTATGTAAGGCCTCTACATAATGCAAATATAGAACAAACATGTATACACATCATAATGTGGATCACTGAGGCGTTTTGCAAAGGAATAAATAATACTGAGCTGCATGTGGATTGATTACTCTGATTCAGGAGATGCCTTTCTTTGACTTGAAGAGAATCTTCACTACCTTACTTGGCTATTTTTTGGTGGTAATTTCTATAAGGAATAAGCAGAAAAATAAGCTGATCATCTTTGAATTACAAACAAAAACATATCTGGAGTAGTGCTTATCCTTTTAAAGAGCTATAATTATATGGCATCACCGACTCAATGGACATGAGTTTGAGCAAGCTCCGGGAATCGGTGATGGACAGGGAAGCTTGGTGTGCTGCAGTCCATGGGATCCCTAAGAGTCGGACATGACTGAGCAACTAAACTAAACTGAATTTTATGGGAACTACATCATAGGGCTGAGCTTCTTTGATGTCTGGGGCTATTAAGGGCCTTGTGATTTCTACCAAAAACATTAAGATACTTAAATTTAAGGAGTATCTAGGAAGCACAGAATAACTGAGTATTCATTCTCCACCAAATTTTTATTTGGACATGCCTATCAAAAAGGACATGCCCATGAAAAAGTCATCAATACAATTTTGTCTTTGTCTTTTAAAGTTGATTGCAATAGCACCTTTGTTGATTAATAATTTTTAATAAAGTAAGATTTTCCAAAACGAAGTTGAAAATCTTCTGATTTAAACATGGGAATTCATGAAGTATTCATCTAATTTGACTGCCATCTGTTCTTTCCCTTTTTCATCACCAAAGAGAAGAGGTTCTGGGGAGGGCAGCCCCGCCCTAGCCTGTTATGCCCAAGGACTGCTGCTGCTGCTGCTGCTGCTGCTGCTGCTGCTAAGTCACTTCAGTCGTGTCCGACTCTGTGCGACCCCATAGACGGCAGCCCACCAGGCTCCCCTGTCCCTGGGATTCTCCAGGCAAGAACACTGGAGTGGGCTGCCTTTTCCTTCTCCAATGCATGAAAGTGAAAAATGAAAGTGAAGTCGCTCAGTTGTGTCCAACTCTTAGCGACCCCATAGACTGCCTTTGTTTCCAGGCATGTATTTTATATAGTTATTTCTTTTAAAAATTTTTAAGTTACTTTTTATTGGTGTATATTTGATTTCAGTTCACTTCAGTTGTGTGTCCGACTCTGCAACCTCATGAACTGCAGCACACCAGGCCTCCCTGTCCATCACCGGCTCCTGGAGTTTATACCCAAACTCATGTCAACCGAGTCGGTGATGCCATCCAACTACCTCATCCTCTGTCATCCCCTTCTCCTCCTGCCCTCAATCTTTCCCAGCATCAGGAAATTATTTGATTTACAGTGTTGTATTACTTTCTGCAGACATGTTTCTGCTTTGGATCAGCTTCTTCATACCTTCATTCCTTCTGAAGCTATTTCTTCGCTCTTCTCCAGTAGCATTTTGGACACCTACTGATCTGGGGAGTTCACCTTTCAGTGTCATATCTTTTTGCCTTTTCATACTGTTCATGGGGTTCTCAAGGCAAGAATGCCAAAATGGTTTGCTATTCCCTTCACCAGTGGACCACTTAGCTGCTAAACAGCTCTTTAGGGTTGCTGTGTAATGAAGCATTCAGACACTAGGGGGCGTGTTATACAATGCAGACCTGGTCTGGAGTCTGATAACACTGAAATCAAATTGGGATGCTGTGGAAGTGGCCACTTTTGAATATGTCCATGTTAAAGCTCCGCAGCAGTAAATATGACCAAAACACTCAATATGTAAAATAAAAATAAATTACCCCAATAGGAGTTATTCATTGTTCTTTGTTAATGTTTAATATTTTTAGTTTTAAATTCCATGTATAGTATTTGTACAATATATAAAAATATTAAAGGATTTCATAACTATCCAGAATCAAAGGACACACATATATGTATACACACATAACTAGATAAATCTTACTGTTGTAGTTCCAGCAGGAAAAAATGACTTCCTCTGTCATAAAACAGCACTTGACTTTTCTACATATATTTCTCTCTTTTCCTCAGATACCAAAAAGTATCAGTGAAGTTTATTTACTTATTTACTTTGTCTATACAGTTGCTAATTGCAAAATTGATATCTTGGACTGTCAAGAAAGGTAAAATTGCCTGTCAAAAATAGCTTTTGAAAGTTCTGTCTTAATATAATTCCTCTGTCATGCAAAACTTAAAAAGCCTTTGCTCTCAATAGATTTTATGAGTATCTATTTGCTTGTATATTTATGTTAAATATAATCTGCCAAATTAGACACTTTTTATGTGTTTATTTTAAAGGACAATGCTAAATATGATATGTCTGTGGGAATTCAGAGCAGTTATTAGTCAGTGAAAATCAGGTTCTTAGGTGCCATTTCCCTGAATAGGGAATGAATGATGGGTGCTGTCCTTCTCTGGCCGTGGCAATCACCAATAACATTGCTCTGATACCATCTGGGGCCAGCATGGAAAGCTCCGATACTTATGTGGGAAGGAATGAGGTGGCTTCATTTCTCAAACAAAAGTTATTCTCTCTCTGCCAGTGGGTTGACAGAGGAAGAATGGTTCTCTCCAAGTACCTGGGAAGCACACGAGATGGGAATGAACTTTTCTTCACCAACCCACTCTGTGGTGATGTGCAGATTCAGAAAAGCTTTGGGAACTGGTTTCCCAGGCCCAGAGGGACAATGCCATGCCCAGAAGAGCTGGGGTGGTGTCTCCTGAGTGGTCCTGCAGAGCTCAGTGCCCATCAGGCTTGGAAGATCTGCCCAGAGTCCTGGAGCGCTTAGAACCTTGGTCACCATTCCTCACCCGTCCATCCAGCTGTCCCTCTGACTCACATTTATGGAGGGCCTGTGTGTGTTGTGTCTTCTGCTTACAGAGGAGGGGACCAGGCAAGGGTGTGGATGGAGGGTGAGCGCAGGACTGGGCTCTGTAGGGAATTTAGGCCCCGTGGTCTGTGGGAGTTGAAAATTCCTGCTTTAAGAATGAGTGAGCCGTCACAAGTGTCCCTGACGCTGAGACGTCAAGCAAGGTGCCTGGAATGGCATACAAGGCTAGGGCACCGTCATAGCGGCTGTTTGGTGGAAGGGGTGTATATGCACTGTGAGTGGGTGGAGTGCTGAGTGGAAGATGGGGAAATAAGGATCCTCCATGACTTTCTGACTGTGAATAGTGGGAGAGAGATGGGTGCTGCAGCAAGAAGCTGACTCAGGTTGGAAAAGGAAAGTAGCTGCAGGTACCTTATGACATCCACAGAGTCAGAAAGCTTACACACTCTGAAAAAAAGAAGGCCATCTTCCCTCACTCTAATGGAAAACTCCACTTAACATCTGGAGCTAAGATCCTGTTGTCCAAATCCACATTCACTTCCAGGAATTTTCACCTAGCCTCTGAGAGAGATGCTAGTTCCCAGTTATGGTGCTCCCCCATGTTCTTGTCGACAAAATGAATATGAACTATGAAATACCAACACAAAGAAAATAAGAAAAGAGTCATTACAAAAAAACAGATGAAAATGAATCCAACTCAAGGAAGGCAGGGATAGAGAAGGTAAGACCTGATATGAGCTATTGTTTTTCCCCTGGATACAGCTGTACCTGAAGCTTAATATTGAGCATATTGGTTACACAAGGTGAGATGCCCCTCCTGCTAGAGCAGGTTTGAATTGCATCTGTCATCCATATTCAAAATAGTCCATGTTCACTGATATATCTATTCTTTGGAAATTCAGGGACATTCCCACAGTTGCCAAGCCTGTAATATATCAATTTCAGGAAAAGAAATATTGAAATCCAATGGCATTGTTTTTCTGAAAATTATCTGTGACACCAAGAAATAAAGGAACTGAATGGAATCCGGGAATTAGTTTATGCAGAATCAAACATAATCTTCAGGAAGGAAAAAACATAATTGTTTTGTAATCCATTTAATAAGCTATTGTCATTAATGATGACCTGCAGCTTTTCATAATTTTCTCCAAACAAATCAGTCCACTATAACTCTGCTACTAGATATTGTGGCATTTATTTCATTATCCCCTATTTTACTTTTGCGGTTCCTTGATCTTCACTCATTAATAAAAGCTTTTTTGTGTTTGTTTTTTGTATTTTTTGCACTTGTTTGCCAACACCTTGCATACAACAGCTGGCTTTCTTCCCACTCCCATTTTTAATAACTCAGATAATGTGGTGAAGATCAGAGGTCCCATAGTCCTAACAATGAAAGTGTTAGAAGAATGACTGTCTTCTGCTCTCATCTTTGTGAACACAAGATGCCAGATCTCTATTTTGTATCCATTTTCAACCTCCAGTTCCTGACATATTGTTTCCATTGTTAGGTCTGAGATTCAAAACTCAACAAGGTTGGGGATGATAAAAGCAGAAAGCCCTGTGGAGAACAAAGCTTGTTCCAAGATCAAT